ATAATTTTGACAACCATCCGCTGGGTTTCGTTTTTGGGTGTTTCGTTTTTTTTTTTTGGCGTGTAGGATGCAGGATTTAGGCTTCGTGCTTCCCCCCCCCCGTCCCCAAGATAGGGTTTGTTTCTGCGATTGCAAGGCTCAAACGTGTAGAAGCCCGGGTTCAGGGATGAGGGCTTAAGGCACAAATGATTCGAGTTGAGGCTTGAAGACCAGGGTTCAGCCAATTGGGGCTTCCGAATTTTGTTGACCCAAAGGCCAGGGTGAAAACATTGAGCCCAGATTACATTTAGAAGCATGGTATCTGTGACTCCCAAATCTCGAGGCCAACAACTTTTTAGCCCGAGGTCAAACTCTGAATTGCGTTACCTTCATACCCCGAAATCAGACACCATGCCTACACAACGAAATATCCTGATGAACCTTCAGTCTCTATTTGATTTTACATTTTCTCTTCCATTTGAAATGCTATTCCCCACCCTGAAATCTCAACCCTACATGATAATTAATGTCGTAGTTTTTCTTTGGTTTTTCATCCCACACTAACAACTAGCAAGAAAAGGTGGGCTGCCCATATCAAACTTCTGGTGGAACTTTGGTAATCATATGGTTTCCTGATAGTAGTAGCTGAATCTGATTTCCTGAACTTACTTCAAAGCGATCCAGACAAGGTTGGCTACTGGCCTGACTATCCTGCAGGGCGCTGCAAGCGCTGTGCAGATCTTTGTGTCAGCAGCCAGCCGGAATTCATTTGGTAGGGGTGTATAGGGATTACGAGGATAGGCATTTGAATAGAGACTCACATGGAAAATTGAATGGACACTGGAGTGATATATATATATATATGTATATATGTATATTCACACACATATTTGTATATGTATTCTTCTTTAGGCGAGGGTTAAGGTCTAGAGTTATGAGGAAGTCTGTGGTTAGTTGTCATAGTTCCTTTTGGGCTAGCATGGCCCCGAATATGTAGGGGATCTTAGCGTTGATGGGCTTCCATGTTTGTGGTTTCTTGAACCGGGTCCAGAAATTCGATCCATGTTCCACGGTTCCAGAAGGTCTCATGTATTTGGGTGTACGGTGCCAGCAATCTAGGGTGATGTAAAGGCCTGAACAACTGGCATGGTTATTCCCTTACCGTCTTGAGATGATTGTAATATACCGTGTGCACCAAGACAAACCCTACTGAAATTGTTTGGGCCCCTGCACTAGTGATTTGCTGCTTACTTCTTCTTCGGACGTCATCTTGTATTGTTACAACATTGAATCGTAGCTGGTTAATGCTGGGTAGTCTGCTAGCATTTTGGTCCAGCTTACCTACCCTAAACTTCAATGCCTAAACTTAGGGGACCCCATAAACCTTGCAATCCCCAACCATAGATTCCTAAAACTCCTGGTGCTCCCTGTATGCCCTTATGTATACTTGCATATCCCCACATATCTACAGAATTCCTCCTGTAACTAGGAACCCTCATTTACTTGGAATGTAGGCTGCCTCTCAGCGCACGAGTGCGTCCTCTGTCCAAAGCCTACGACGGAGGAGCAGTTCAAGCTGGAGGTGTGTGTTGAGAGGTTTTGGGTGTGTAATATTTGGATCTTGGTTGCCCCAAACACCAAGATGATTGAGATAGTGACTCTCAGATGACTCTCCAGGACCCCCTATGGTAGGGGTTAGGGTTGCCAAAATCCTCCCGTTGTTTGAAAGTGTTGTTGGTGCGCGCAGCTTGAGGGCAGAGACAGGAACATAGGGGCTTATAAGAAGATATAGGCGGCTATATGTGGGAATACCTAAGCTTGAGGGGCAGGGGTCCTATTCTTCTTCAGGTCATCTTGTGAGGGTGTGCAAATCTTGGGGTTCCTAATGAGCACTGCGAAGATGCAGCCGGCAGCATCCGAGAGTAGCGGAAGGCAACTATGATAACTAATGTGAAGCAGCAGGAAAAGGAAGTAGGAACGAGACACGGAAGAAATTTTGGGCCTTTTTTTTCTCCGTTGAGAGGACTAAGCCCCATATGCCAAAAGCAGCCGGAAAAGCCTACCCTAAACCCTGACCCGCAAACCTAAAACCCAAAATCCTGGACCCGGCAGGCTGGAAAGTGCGTAGCCCAAACTCGGCCCTTCTGGCAGTTCCTGGGAATGATTGGGCTAGGAGCCTCAGTGGTACCCTTTTACCCTTTNNCCTTATTGTAATATGGTTACTGGGCGACCAAGTGGGGAATTCGACTCTCTTTTAAGATTTTGACATTTTAGACCATGGTTATAGACCGTAGAAGCCCAAATAGTTAGTGTATGGTGTTGGAGTCCATTGTATTGTTGTTATACAAGTCACAAGGTAGTATAGTATGGATGTTCATTCAGGCTTCTACATTGCAGACATGGTTCGAGACACCACGTGTCGGTGTGGATGCTTGAGTGTCTTCCCATAGCACGTCTTGAAATAAGAAAATTAGCAAGGACTGGCTCGCTGCGAAACGAGGGACGAGTTTTATTCGGGTTCAGGAAGATGCAATGCACCAGCAACACTTGATAGTCTAGTATGTCGCAGTACTGCACTGGAGCAAAACGTTTTATTTTCCAAAAAGCCTGAGTAAAACGTTTTATTTTCCAAAAAGCCCCTTGTGGGAGCATACGGGACTAAGTGATTGCATGTCGGGTGTCAAGGGAGGTTCGGCAAAAAGGCCCAGTTGACAGTCATAGCTCGTAAAGGAATTTCTGCAATTTGTGGATCATGTAGATGAGGATGCTCAAGTTGCTTGGGCTTGTGACCCCTGAGCAAAATCACAAAGCATTCAAATTGCTGATAGCTGTCTCGAGTCCTTCAAATGTTTTGCAGTAGACTGCCATGACATCTCTGTCACAAGACTGAGATCTGAGCAAAAAACGCGAAAGCTTAAGCCCTCCCAATTGAAAACTTGTAAACCAGAAGCCCCTAGGCCCTAGACCTTAAGCCTCCCAAGCCCCTAAAACCTGAATCGAAAACCTGAAGCTGAGTTGCTGTCAAGGAACTTGTTTTAAAGTACCACAACAAGGAGACCTCAGTATCTATCATATACACAGATTATGGCATCTTAGATTAAGTTCCCCAACAGCAAACCAAGCCCAAATCCAAAACCCTAAAGGCAGGGCTGTATTGGTTGTTTGAGGGTCTAGTTTTACTGCTTGTTGTTTTTAGGGTTTAGTCTTACTCCGTCGTGTGCTGGGGTCCCGGATGGTGTCCTGAATGGCTCTGCTTTGTTTTCGGCCGTGTCCTGGTCTTGGGAGCGGCATGTTACTGCTGTGAAGGCACACGGAGCGAGCACTGGCCATAGCCCTGGGGATTGCGGCCTCACTGATCTTCTGCTGTGGCTTGGTGACGGTTATGGATTTAGGGTTTAGGGTTCAGGGTTCCGGGTTTAGGGTTTAGGGTGGGGTTCAGGGTCTAGTGGTAATGCATAAAGTATAGACATATTTTAGCGGCATCCAGGAAGGTACAGTAGGCGCATTGCAATGTCGGCGTGCGTGGGAATATGTAACGTTTGCGGGGGGTGTCGAGGTTTTAAGGAGTTGATGTAGTTGATGTTCTGCCTGCTAAACTTTGGCGAAGTGATCCAAAGATATAGAGGCACGCTACCACAAACAGATGCTGAATGAAGAGATATGTTCTGCCGTCATTAGCAAACTGTTTTTAGGGCTGGCAGGGCTCAAGGTTGAAAGCTCCAAGAAATTCGAGATTCCAATCTCTGAGCATGCTCTGGAACTCCAGAGAGTATAAATCTTCGAGTAGCGCTGAACCTTGAGAAGGGCCGGTGAACCCTGGCAGGCGCAAGTAGCCAAACAATAACCCTGGATGCTAGCCAGCAAGCACAAGGGCGCGGGCAATTTTGCTAAATTCCGACGTATGCAAGGAATGACCTGTAAGATGCTTTCATATCGTCACTGCGTAGACCCGTTATTCTATCCTTAGACCCTCTGAATCCCTATATCGCCCTTTGAAGAGAAACTTTCTATACTTCCCATAGAACCCTTATACTCCCCCCGTGCTATCCTTACATAATCGCCATAGAGCCCTCCTCAAACTTCTTAAATAGCTCCTGCAACGGCGAGTGGCCTACCTAGACCAGGTGGCCTGGTAGCCTTCCGCCTGGCGCCTTCAGAGCGCCTGAGCGGTGCGGAGCCCGAAGATCGTCAGGGAAACTTGCCGCTGGCCGACCCTCGGCGCTAACGGTTTTGAGGCTAAGGGCATGGTAGGGGTACTTTTAATAAGGTTCCAGGGGTTCTAAGGGGATATATGGGGTTTAGAGCTTGGCATTCTGGCCCGTAGTGGAAAGAAAAGAGACGACGACGGCGCAAGAAATGACAACTGGGATTGTATCGGGCTAGTACGTAGGAAAACAGATATGACCAGGTGACATGGAACCGTATAGTGTTATGTTGACTGGTACCAGTGTTCATAATCTGGGGTGTTGGGTGCATTCAGTGTTCAGGCTTGACGAGGTATTCAGGGCTTTTTAGTTTTGATCATGAATGTCGAGCCTTGGGTTTTTTCAGATGTTTGGGGCTAAAGGTTGGGGATCAATTGTGGCTGGGGCGGGGGATCCATGGATTGCTTTGGGTTTGGATTTCAGGTTGTAATGTTGAGGAGTTCAGAGATCTTGTGCTTTGGGAATAAACGGTCTGTGCCACAGCAATGCTACGCACGTAGCAAATGTGCATACACATATACATATACTACACCCTTTCAGTACATCATTGCCAGAGCCAAGTGTTCTGCTGTTTAGGGTTCGGACTTACCAGTTTGATCACAGATGCTTTTCCAGGACTTTGGCGGTGCATTTAAGCACAGTGCCCCAGCTTCTTGGCCGAACTAGCTTTCGGGGTCTCATAAGAATTTCTCAATCAACCTGCCAGCATGCAAAGCTACGAACAAAGGTAGGCCTTGCTTCACAGAGGATTCTCAGTCATGTCAAACTGCAGTACAGTTGTACGTTGTGCAAGACGGCAATCGTGGTTATTCTTTTCATGGTTGTGCTGGGGAGTTCCTCAGGTTCGGGGTCAAGGGTTGGGTTGGGCGTGTGGAGGTTTGGGTGGAGAACTCATAGCTTTGGATTGGGGGGGAGCGGAGCCTGCCCATGAGCGGCTGATTGGTTGGTGGTTCATTGGTTGGTGGTTCAGGACCTGGGGTGCCCGGAAGCGCAGGGTACCCTTCTTTCCTTGAATTCGAGTCGGCCCTTTGATGTCCCTAGACCCAAAACCGAAAGGGAAAGCACACTTTTGGCGTCAAGGTCGCGATGAATCTGTAACCTTCCCTACTTAGATAGATATTGGCATAAATACATAAATATCTGAATACATATATGTATATATACACACAAGTGCGCCTTCGAGAGGATAGTGGACTTTGTAGGGCCCCTTTTTTTTTTCGGGAGGACAGGCCTTCAACTAACTTGACACAGTCTTCGAGCCATCCACGGGAACAGGGTAAGGAACAGGTTTAGGCATACCAATCACTAGGACCAGTTCAAGTCCAAAAGATTGCGGTAAGCTCGCCAAGCTCTGTGATCAATCTGAGTGCTGCGCCGAGAAGTACAACCCTGCACCTGGGAAACCTAGGCTGGGTACCGCAAACTACCCGTGGAGGACGCAGATTTCTAGCATGCACGAAGGAGTTTCTCAAAGATACCCCTACAGAATCCTAATAGGGACCTGGGGAACATACAAGATTCACACCCGAAACTCCAAACCCTAAAGCCATGAGGAACCCCCTTTTTGAGAAACCCACGCATGCCAAAAGCTCGGATGACCACCGGAGCGCGTGACCAAGTCTGGGTTTCATCACAGATGTGGGGGCTTGCAAAAAGTTAGGGAAAAAAGGCATACAGGGTTAGGGATTTCCCAAAAGCAGGCGTCCCTTTTCTGGAAGCCACCGTCAAATGGACTATGGTACATTGGAGTGTTTAACGGGGCTCCCTCTTCATGGAAACTCCCAAACCCTAAACCCTCTCTAAACTCAGGCCCTTACCAGCATCCTTCAGGGTTTAGGCTCTGGTCCCGGGCTCATTTGTCTCACCTGCAATCAAGTCGGGGGGCATGGTCGAAAAGATGGTTGCGTGAAGCTTGCTTTGTGCGAGAAGGAGCTCTAGGGGGCTCAAGCATAGCTATTTAGCTCCAACCCCTTTGGGGTGTTCGCAAGGATGAGCAATTGCTTTTTTGGCATAGATAAACTCCAAACCTTACCAATTGGTCAGGGTTTTATTTCACAGCCTAGCCTTACCAATTGGTCGGGGTTCTTATTTTCACATCCCGGTCTTAGGCAGCTCGTGTGAAGACCACTCAGTCCAAGAAAGCCGCAGATGAGGAGTTGGAGTGTGATTATGAGATTGTTGCCGCGTGTTTGCTACAATGCTTTGAAAATTGCAGAGCTGGCTTCTCCCCTGCCTGCTCAGCTTACCTACAATATTTTGAAGGTTATGTGCAAGTACTAAGAAGCGCGCAGTGAGTGTCTTTCGCAGCTAGCCACAAGCCCTGACTAATCCACAAATCCTAGTAGTTCCTTTTAACACCCTTGGTTCTAAGCCCTAACTTCAAGACAAACTGCTCAGGCGTGGATTCGGGTCTCTCTTGGGACCCGGATGGCAACGGAGCCGAAACCTCTTCGTCGACTTCCGCAGAGTTCTGGTACAACAGCGTGGAGGAGTCCACGTCTCAGAGGGCATTTTCGGTTTAATGCCATGTGTAGCTAAGGACAGTGAATGAAGCAGCTGATCATTTTTTGTCAAGAAAAGTTGTCAATGATCTCAGTACTGGTTTTCGTTACGTTTCAGTGTTGAGCTTTGTTTAATGTTCCCAGTCTTGTCATGGGTCACTGCTATAGGTGTTTCGCTTGTCGTTGTTCGAGAGAGCAACCGTCCCAGCGACTAGGGGACAGCATTTGGGGGATTATGCCACGCTCGAGGGTACTCGAGGAATGTGGGGTGGGTAGGTTGGTCGAGGGCAAAGTCAAGCCCCCCCAAAACGAGCACACCCTGAACCCTAAACCCTAAACCCTGATCCTACAACCAGATTTTACACTACTAAACTCCATCCGCAGCTCTCACAGCCCGCCATGCTGAGGATGCGGCCGGTGGGAAGGCTTTGGCGCTGCAAAGGCGCAGCCAACCCCTTCAAGGCACAGATGGTTTAGGACCAAGGTTCGGAGTGCAAAGGTTAAGGGTTCATGGTTTAGGGCCTTTTTGTTTTCTAAAGCCTGTATACTTCTTACCAAGGCTCGCTTCTGGCTGCTGTAAGATTCCGGCAACATTCGGTGCAGCCCGTGTTCAGTATTTACGGGGTCCCTTGAAAAGCTGCAGTTCAGCGCTTCTCCCCCGGCGAGGCTTGCAGTGTCCGTGGCATGAGCTTACAGGCCAGGTGGGCATGGCATGGGATTTTTTCAAAGCTGTTCTCATGGACAGGATCATTTACTAGGGTTGCGCCCCGGATCATTGGTTTGGGACTTCCCTTCAGCGAAAATCTATGGATGGTAGCGTTCAGCAGGAGGAGATGAAATCTCAGAAAGCTCCCAGTCATCAGACCCCCACCTTCGCATCAGGACATGAACAAGCACAATAGCCGTAGCCTTGCCATGATGTTATTGTCAAAGAGCATGACAGATGCCCAAAGAACGCGTTTTGGGCTTATGGGCACAATGTTGAAGTATGCTCTCGCTATTAGGATCACAGATTTTCCATGGTGGGTCCATAGCTTTGCAGGTTGGCATTCCCACAGGTATCCTGGTGCCGGAAGCAGCAACTGGGCAAAATCTTGCCTGTTTGGCGTTCATGAGGAGGACAGTCGTTTTGGTTGCAATTTGTTCCAAGCCCTAGGTAACCCGTTCAAATTCAGAACGTACTTCGGGGAGCACTTCCAGCTACCGATCCCAAGGCGACTCACTTCGGCGTCACTGTCGCCAACGAGGTTGGGGATAACATTTGAATCCTTGTTGCCTCGTTCTTCACTGCTTCTGGCATGGCTTCCTTGTGACGACTTCGGTCACACCCTGACCTGCTTTGGAAGAGCAGTGTTGGCGCTCCTACTTACAAGCTGCTTGAAAACAGTAGCTAGAACACCTTGGACAACTGGCAAGCATCCAAGCCGAAAAGTAGTGCAACCTGCGAAACAGTGGTTCCTGACGTGGTTTCCTGAAGTCTGAGAAGAGACATCTGCAAAGACCACCGTCTGTGAACTTCATCTGTGATCTTCATATACCTCCAGAGGACTCCTGACCCATCGAAGCAAGCATGCCAAACCTCAGCCCCCTCACAATCCAAAACTTAAGCCACAAGCCTTCGACCACTAGCCCGCCAAATCCTAAATGTGAAGCAACTACGAGCTCGAAACCCTAGTGTAGACCCTACACCCTGAAGCCTGCGAGAATCCCTGCAGCGCTGCCTCCAGCTGCCAGGCCGGGGAAAACACCCGCCTCACGGCCGTCAGGCTGTCTGGAGAGGAGGAGGAGCAACGCAGTGTGGGTTTTCGGGTTCAGGATGTGGAGTTCTTTCGGGGTTGTGATTCGGAGCAGGAAGCCTGTCCTTTTAGATTAAGATTTGTTGGAAAGGGACAAATCGTAATCTGTGGGGGGTTCCCAATTTGAAGCGTCAATCTGCTTGGAGATGATTACATGTCCCAAGAGGATTTCAGTCTGTAGGGATGTTCTCAATTTGCGACCCTCTTGGGCTTTTATCTCATGAGTTGTTGAAAGCTTCTTACCTAAGGATCCTGCCTTGGCATGACAAGGTGTGAAAGCCACCTGCCAAGAGCTTGTGGAGAGCTTCTGCTGGGAGATCTCTACGTAAGTCTAGTCCGAAGTGTTACAGACACAGATTCCCGGGCTAATCCTGCTTTCGCGACCTCGCTCCGCGTTGTGCGGAGGATGACAGCTTTTCGGGCAAGGTCCTCATAGGAGTTCTGCAAGGCACGGTGTGATCCTTAGGTGGGGTGGAAGCTTTAGGTAGCACATTCGTTTTTACGTAGCATTTTCAAGTTGGGGGACCTGGAATCTGTGACATTCCATACGGTCCCGACGTCGCATGTACTTCAGGGTGTCTTGAAGCTGGCTTCATGGCTGCGCAGCATGTCACAGAAGTGAACTCTGTCTAGGGTCGTGTGCCGCTTCTCTTGATTTTCCCCGCATTTGACGCACGGATATTGCTGGGCATTTGCTGCAGGTCCCACAACCGCCCTTGACCCTACACCGAAGTCAACCCTTTCCCAGACTCAACGTTTGGGGTGTCGGGGAGTACGTGACCAGTTGAACCAGGCAAAAGACTCCAGAATTCGCAGCTTGACAGGATCTAAGTAACTGGAACCCTCTTTTTGTGTTGGTTGCAAGTGCGATTGCCTGTACTGCGAGGCACACGTTCGACATGGCAACACCCTGGCTTCATGATGATGGAACTATTCGCGACTCAGAAGATCCAATCCCGTATCATGGTACCTACACTCCCTCCCCATCCTAAGTCCCTAAGTCTTAAGCAGGAAATGCTAGAACAGGTCAAAGTGCAAGCCAGGCCAGTGAGACCAAACCCAAAGTTGAGCCCGGGGACCAAAGTAATCCAAACGATCCTGACAAGTCAGAATCATCATCATGACTCCTAACCCAGATCCCGGATTAATAAAGCCCCTCCCTTGCTAGGGATTATAGTAGAAATCCTAATATTTAGGCCCTTAAAAGGAAGGGTTTTTTGATCATGGATCTGCAATTTAATATCCTAGAACTGAAGTATCCTCCCCAGAGACTTTCTCACGAGAATCCTACACTGCCTATCGTGGATTGCGCCAGGCTTCTCCAGAGCCAACCGCGCAGAGTGTGGGCCAGGCCTTTGTTCCACTTACTTGGGAGTTTCCCAAATTGGGGGTACCATCTTGGGGGTCTCCATAACAAGGACAAAAGTATTTGGGGGTCTATATTGGGATCCCCAAATAGTGGGGCAACTACCACTTTTGGGGAACAACGGAGAATGAAAGTTGAAATCAGATCGAGAATTGACGAGCTTCAGGTCTTGGCCTTAGAGGAGTTGGCCAAAGACAGAATTTCGGATAGAGACTGCTACATTATTAGGATTTCGGGCGTATGGTTGAAGTTGATTTGGGGTTTGTTGGTGCTTGAGGCAAAGTGGGGGCGGACGATATAGGGGTTATTCCAGGGACTCCCCCACTCTCCCTTAAGCAAGAGTAAGTCAAGCTGCCTTTGGTACAGCTTGCGAGGATCTAGACAGGTCAGATGGTTACAGAAGTGCAACAGGGCTTTATGTCGGTTCGGCTGCAATTGTCAATGACTCATCCCCATGGTGGGGTGTCGAGGTCTCATGTTGGTGTAAGGTTGTGCGGCGTGCGAAGTCATCCTCGAATTCACAGCGTTTATGTGGGTTGTTGCATCTTTTGGCGGCCGCTGGCCCCCCACATCGGGGACAGTTGGAGTCTGTCAGGTGCTGTTTTGGCTTATTGAAGGCTGCTCCTGTGTCCTAGGTCATGCTTTCGTGCACGGATTGAACATCCGCAAGGTGTATTTGTGAGCTTGTGCTGACCTTTCTTAACGGTTGTGACGAGGGGAAGGGATGCTGGGTGGAAAGCTTGGTCTTTTGAGCGGTGATGCTCGCATATGCTCGCTACAGGGATCTGCGAGGGGTATTTCAAAGACGGCATGACTTGTCTTGCCATCTTCCTACCTCATATGACTCACAGGACACATTGTTCACAATTATCGTCCCTTTTTGGGTCCCTGGTACCTTTCTGTAATACTTAGGATGCCGGAAATGGGACCATACTTCTGGCAACCTACTATATATACTTTCGTCATAACCCTGAAAACTCATGTTTCATCTTGACACAACCCCCACAAATAGTTGCAAAGCATCACTGTCCCTCCCCTTCAATCACATCCCGTAAGCCCAACCAGAATCCTGTGCAAGGGAAGCATTCCTTGGCGCCCGACGGCTGGAAGGACATCATGGCCCTGGGCCTGGCAAGCTCATCCTGCTGATGCTTGTGGTATAGGGTTTAGGATTTAGCGTTGTAGTACGGGTCATTTTGGTACAAGAATGTAGAGTGAAACTAAAAAATATGAATAGGGGACATGACATTTTGAGGTCTTTTATAATTGCCTTTGAATCTTGTTTTCCTTATGCAGCTGTAGTACAGAGGCGCCAAAACTCAATTTTTTTTTGGGGGGAGAAGGGGGGGGCCGGCTTGAAGCTACGTTAAGCTGAAGTGAATCGGGGATCTGTGATGCCTAGCCGGAGTCACATATATGGGTCCCCGTAGTACCCACCCTGCGGCACCGGTGAGTTCTGTGAAAGTGGAATTGAGAGAGTCGGATCATAATGGTGGTGCGTAGCTGTCCTAAGGATTCTGCATACAGGGTCAGTTAAGACAAATAAAGTGCTAAGGAATGCGCAGCGCTGGCTTGTGTTATGCAGGCATGCCGTCGCCTCTGGCCATGTGAAAGGGACGGTGCTAGTAAGAATTACTAGTATATTTTTCCTCACTATTGTCATTCTTGTTAGTATTACTATGCCTACGCACTCGAATGCACCAAGCCCTGAAATCATCGTGATTCAGCCTACCGAGCCCCCTCGATGGAGGTTTCTGGTGTCTGAGTTACCACGCGTGGCAGATGTGTGCGATCAACCCTAAACCCTAAACCCTAAACCCCTGAACCCCAAACTCCATAAGAACCACCGCGGACTTACAAGACTCAGTGTTGTTCCAAGGTCATACAGCCAAACTCATGTTGGCACCTGGAATTAAAGAATAGCATAGAAGAACAAGTAACAGGCAAACTCCATGAGAATCTCCCCCCCCTCCATTTTCTATTCTTCTAGCTTATAAATGCATATGTATATTTACAGGTGTATACATATATATATATCTATATCATATATACATATACACACATATATATATATACACATATATATATATGGTAGCCCCCCCCCCCAAGATCTACGCCTAACCTGTTTTATCTTCATGAATGCTTCATGTGCCATCTTCGTGAACATATTGTATCAGCCGAAAACACTGTAAATAGCGATGAATCCTATACTTTTGAATGAAATTAGTCATAT